TTGGGTATGGTAGTGGCGTAAATGCAAACTTTCAATAATTTCACGGTAGGTTTAGCAAGTGACTGTTTTATGTCGACTAACGTGCATGAAAGTTCAAGTACGCCAAAACAAGCAATGAAATAAATATTGGGTTTTATCTGACGAGGGCCGGCTAAAAGATTTTGAATAATATCTGCATACACATAGGCAATAGGGAAACAAAAGGACCTATTATACAGAACTGCAGTGATGACGTATGGTGTATAATATAGCAACATTTCACCGTTACAAAACTACCGAGCGACATGGTCTAGATCTAGACGTCTAGAGGTTTAGACCATTTTGCTTAGCATTATGTCGTTGAATGAAACACAAAAAAAGGCTCTACAAAACTGCATTGTTGTGTTGAAGTTAATGCGTGCCGTAATCCTTTTTAACAATAGAATATTAGAATCCTACAGACATTTTTCATCATTTAAAAGGGGTAAAAAGGTAGTAATACTACTGAGAGTAGTGTGCATAGGTGGATGTTGAACTTTTGCCAATGTAGCAGCTTGTTCGACTGACAAGATATTAAAAAATATGAACGATTTGATTCGGTTCGGGCCGCCTGTCAATCGAGTAGGTCACATTATTTATCAACCAAAGCTATTCGCATTATGTGGTATCTATAAAAAGAAGCATTTTTCTTTCCAAAAATTGAAGCAATTCCTGTAAGGTATATGTATAAAAAAAAGCGCAGGAAAAGGTTTTGCTTCGAGGGTTTGTATTTATAAAAAGAAGCATCTGCTCGAAAACTACAGGATTTGCTTCTAAAAAAAAAGGAATCTAGGTTCGCAACAACTTTTCTCAGTCAAAGTGTTGTGCTTGTTATGGCTGATATGATGCATTTCATCATAATTATAAGGTCTTCGGTCCTAAGACTGTTTGGACATTCACCTCCACTCTTTCCCATCCTGAGCTAATCTTCGCATTTTCCTAAAAACTACAACATCCCACATCCTTAACTATTTGCGAACAGTAATCCAATCTAGGTCTACCTCTACCCATACTAACTCCTGCTTCTGCCTTTAAAATGTCTCTGACTAGACAGTCATTCCTGAGAAGCTGTCCTACCAACCTATCTCGCCTATTTCTTATTTACTTCCATTGAGTCCCCTGTTCTCCTATTCTTTCTCTTCATCTCCAACCTTCTCTATCCACGGTATCCTCATCATTCGACTGTAACACCACATTTTGAACACTTCTAACCTTATGGTGCATTTAAGTACAAGAAAATACTACAAACCAAGACGTACATCACGAGAATCAAGTTTTAAAGAGTTATTTAGATTTGTGGAGGTTGACGGACCACTTTCTTGGCATGAATCTTGAAACACGTGGAGCAGCCGTGTCCTCTGAGCAGAAAATGAAAATATTTATGCGTTATTTTACGAACCATTTTAGATTTGCTAACTTTCAACACTGCACAAGTAACTCAGGAATGTATGTATGTAAACAGCTGTCACGGAACACGACGCACATGTTGATTGCACAATTCAAATTTCAACTAGTTTGTCGAAATCGGTAGGGACTAATCTGTAACTTTTACCTTATTAATCCGTAGCACTTACTTGCAAAGAAAAGGTATAGATTAAGAATACGAATTGTAACAAAAGCTTTTACTTCTACCTTTTACTTGAAAGTAAATGGTTTATTTTTATAAATACGGCCTAACAAGTAGGTACCAAACCAGTTTATTAAATATAAACTAATAGTCTATTTTATGTATTTATTATTATTCTTGGCCGTTAACATAACATACGATATGAATAGGGCTGCCATCACTTAAATTGCCGACGCCGCATAAACACGGCAAAAATCCCGGACATTTGGACGAAATACTGTTTTTTTCCCGAACATCTCTGAAAAATATTTTTTTGCAAAAAAAATATAAACATCGGTATAATTTTTTAATTTTTATTCATTTATACAGCTTGTNGGGCCGCCATCACCTAAATTGCCGACGCCGGATAAACACGGCAAAAATCCCGGACATTTCGGCGAAATATGTTTTTTTTTCTCCTGACACCTCTGAAAAAATACGCAACAAAAATAAAAACATCTCTCTTTCTTTTGACATTTATCAAATTATTATATGATACTACTAATAACTAACTAACTATAATACTTTATAATTTTAAAATAAACCACGCCAATGATATTTTCAGTCATCTAGTTAGGTAGCCAAATCCCTATGATATTTGTAAATTAAAAGTACTTAACTGCTCAAACTTTTAATTTTAACGGGATTAATTTTTTTAATTATTTTGATATTTTTCAGTCTTTTCAATTTTCGCTAAAATATCTTTCTTTTCAACAAGAATTTGTAAAAGTCGGAACAACTCAGGTCCTTGAAATTATACTTATCTTAGCGAGTTTCTTTTTTTCGTCTGTTGCTGCGTGACTAGCGAAAACACTCTCTCTACGTTGGCATTGTCAATGAATTCATCGCTTATCTATAAAAAAAAATGGATTTCCCCTGACAACAAAAGTTTGAGTTTTTAAAAACCCCTGCCGGACGCCCTTCAAACTAGGACAAATCCGGGGAATCCCGGACGGATGGCAGCCCTATAGGTATGAATAAGAACAACTTTAAAGTTATTCATAATTATCAAGAAAAAAGTTTTGGAAAAGCGAATGCAATTCTTTTTTCGAAAGTAACAAAAACCTTCGAGAAAGGTTGACCACATGTAGGTTTTGTTCTCTTATTTTTTTTTTTAGTGAATATTAAGTGTATTAGAAATCCAATTGTAATCATCGGCTGTCTGTAAATACTATAACGAAATTTTCCCGTGGCAATCCGCGTTATATCGGGAAGCAGCTGTGCGCGATGCATATAAACAGGGTATACACCTGGTCAACCCTGACACAAACAGGGGTGACAAATTGACTCTCCACGCCCACTTGATTCACCACGGTGCGCCGTGACTTTAGAAAAGGCGAACGGATTTTAACATGATGTGTGCAAATAATAACCGATACATTTAGACTAATCCCCATAAATAGTATACAGGGTGTTCTTTAAAATAATACCGAGAAAATAGACTATAGGTAATTTATATAGTAAATCTTTAACCGTTTCTGGCGATTCCATCATACATACCAAAATTTTCATTAAGGAGAATCGAGAGCTATACTGTTAAAGAAAGCAGTGTTTCACGGAAAATGGTAAATAACTAAATGTACGAAACATATCTGCAAAATTTGATTTAAGGCCGTTAAACAGTAGCAATGAAAGAAAAAAATAGCTAAAATATTAAAAATCAGACTGGTATGTTTGCATACCAAGACAGTAGTGGCTTGGTACATGGTACAAAACTTGAACAACCAGTACATATACCAAGAAATTGGTATATCTAACATCGTTGGTTATCTCTCCAATAAGTTAGTTATGACTGACATTCCCCCTAATTTTGATACTTTTTTGGATATGGTAGTGGCGTAAATGAAAACTCAATAATTTCACGGTAGGTTTAGCAAGTGACTGTTTTATGTCGACTAACGTGCATGAAAGTTCAAGTACGCCAAAACAAGCAATGAAATAAATATTGGGTTTTATCTGACGAGGGCCGGCTAAAAGATTTTGAATAATATCTGCATACACATAGGCAATAGGGAAACAAAAGGACCTATTATACAGAACTGCAGTGATGACGTATGGTGTATAATATAGCAACATTTCACCGTTACAAAACTACCGAGCGACATGGTCTAGATCTAGACGTCTAGAGGTTTAGACCATTTTGCTTAGCATTATGTCGTTGAATGAAACACAAAAAAAGGCTCTACAAAACTGCATTGTTGTGTTGAAGTTAATGCGTGCCGTAATCCTTTTTAACAATAGAATATTAGAATCCTACAGACATTTTTCATCATTTAAAAGGGGTAAAAAGGTAGTAATACTACTGAGAGTAGTGTGCATAGGTGGATGTTGAACTTTTGCCAATGTAGCAGCTTGTTCGACTGACAAGATATTAAAAAATATGAACGATTTGATTCGGTTCGGGCCGCCTGTCAATCGAGTAGGTCACATTATTTATCAACCAAAGCTATTCGCATTATGTGGTATCTATAAAAAGAAGCATTTTTCTTTCCAAAAATTGAAGCAATTCCTGTAAGGTATATGTATAAAAAAAAGCGCAGGAAAAGGTTTTGCTTCGAGGGTTTGTATTTATAAAAAGAAGCATCTGCTCGAAAACTACAGGATTTGCTTCTAAAAAAAAAGGAATCTAGGTTCGCAACAACTTTTCTCAGTCAAAGTGTTGTGCTTGTTATGGCTGATATGATGCATTTCATCATAATTATAAGGTCTTCGGTCCTAAGACTGTTTGGACATTCACCTCCACTCTTTCCCATCCTGAGCTAATCTTCGCATTTTCCTAAAAACTACAACATCCCACATCCTTAACTATTTGCGAACAGTAATCCAATCTAGGTCTACCTCTACCCATACTAACTCCTGCTTCTGCCTTTAAAATGTCTCTGACTAGACAGTCATTCCTGAGAAGCTGTCCTACCAACCTATCTCGCCTATTTCTTATTTACTTCCATTGAGTCCCCTGTTCTCCTATTCTTTCTCTTCATCTCCAACCTTCTCTATCCACGGTATCCTCATCATTCGACTGTAACACCACATTTTGAACACTTCTAACCTTATGGTGCATTTAAGTACAAGAAAATACTACAAACCAAGACGTACATCACGAGAATCAAGTTTTAAAGAGTTATTTAGATTTGTGGAGGTTGACGGACCACTTTCTTGGCATGAATCTTGAAACACGTGGAGCAGCCGTGTCCTCTGAGCAGAAAATGAAAATATTTATGCGTTATTTTACGAACCATTTTAGATTTGCTAACTTTCAACACTGCACAAGTAACTCAGGAATGTATGTATGTAAACAGCTGTCACGGAACACGACGCACATGTTGATTGCACAATTCAAATTTCAACTAGTTTGTCGAAATCGGTAGGNTTAATTAGTTTTCACTTTTTCGTTGTCCAAAATTTTCAAAATGTAACACCTCGTTTACGTATGTACATTACAGTTGTCTTTATCACACTAGCACAGTTCAGTTCATGTACTAACTCTTCTCAATGATGAGGGTGTCCCCCGGGATATCCCGTCAAATCCAGTCCCGCTCTAAGGGCGGCTTGGCTTGCCAAAACCCGTCCCGCCAAATCCCCTAACGCCCGCTCCAACTGTTGATGCTGACTTCTCACAGCGAACCTATTCACATGCACCGGTATGGGTACCACTAGTTTATTTTTATTTTGTTGCCCGTTTTTGCCGTGTTGGGGCCCGGCTGCCAACCCAGCCTTAACCCTTTTCCACTTGGCTCTCCTATTCTGGAACCAGATCTTCACCTGGACCTCGCTCAGTCGAAGAGCTGAAGCTATTTGACTTCGTTCAGTAAGGGAAAGGTACTTTTTTGCATGAAACTCCCTTTCCAATTCCAGTAACTGTTCGCTTGTGAATGCGGTACGCCTACGTCTAGTTTTATTCGATGTGGAACCCGACTTTGAACAAGAATTGTCCAGGTTTTGTTGATCGTCCGTTTCTTCATCGTCTGTGCCTGCAAAATAACAGAAATTCTGACGTTTTACCAGATAATAGCAGAGAAAGAAAATGTGTTACAGTCAATGATGGTTTTATTAGCATAAATTACTATTGATGATAAGCGCGCTGTTCTTGTGCAAGTGCTAAACCAGAAGTACATTTTCAGCCTTCTTTTGGCAATCATAAGAATAGGAATGTGTTATTAGTGATTAAGGAGAGACAAATGAGATGGACGAAATCAGATATAATTGAATATTATCTACGAAATGTTATTGCTCCAGCATTTGTCTAAAGAATCGACGCAAAAATTGTATAGTTCGTGCACTTAGAGAAAGGTACATGACGCGGAAAAAAACTAGAAATACACAACTAGCTTTAATAGATAACAGTGCTTTACATTTCACAAATTAAGGCGTTCAAGTTACGATAATGTATGAAAAATTTTTTGATGTACCTAATGATGCACACATGCATGTACATGTTTCGTCATTAGTCTAACTTAAAAAAAAAAACACGTAGGACAATAAAATGCAACGATTTAATATTGCAAATGATAAAATAACAGGCGGCAGATAAGTGCGTTATTGCATTAACATCTGATGGTAAACCACCTGCCATATTCCGGCTGTCCCTTCCGACTAGGACAGACATTCGTTTGTGCGCATCGCCCACGGTGTACATTTCCCTAAGTGAAGGAATATACCAGGAGAGGTGTACCAGGAATCGAATCGATGTCCTACTGAGTACTAATCTACGATTTAACCACTACACCTCACTCTTAAACACATGGTTTAATGTAGCTGCAACATTTGCAGCGGGAAGCCAGTCAGTTGTTTTTTTACACCAGTAACTGGTTGTTTAGTGCTAACTTAAATAGTGTTTTTTTTTGCTAACAAGACAAATACCTACTTGTTTGGTAGGCTGTTTCATGATGAAAAATAGAGACGTATAAAATGGTTTCTTAAAAACATTTAAATACAAAATGCAAATACTTTTTGGATTTGTTATTTCAAATGTAAAATACAAAATAGATTTCTCTTTTATATTTTAAATGCTAAATGCAAAATACGTATATTCAAAATACTTTTTTCACCTAAATGCTTTTTTGTAGTAGGTACTTATTTAATTTTCTACATTTACTTCAGTATAAAATATTTTTGAAGAAAACCTTGTAGGAATTTGCTCATTTTTTAAATATTGGAGTTTTTGCAGTGGTATTTACACTATATCACCAGCTGCGAAGATTGAGCTTGAGTCATGTTTTCCTGTTGGAAGTGATTGTGATATAGTTTTTCTATCCTTATGGTATAATTCCTTCAGTTCAGCAACAAATAATTCTTCTATATGCTCCGTTATTTGACTTTGACACCGTTTTAATTGGAAAAAGGACACTGATGCCAAAATAGTTTGTTTTCCGTGAAAGATCAGAGCCAAAATAGGGTTGTAAATAATTTTATTGATGTAAAATCACCATCAATCATTTTATATCAAACATTGACAACCCCATTTTGTTTTTGATCTTTTACACATTGTAATAAGACAAAGAAATGGAATCCATACTTTCTTTAGCTTTCAGTTCATCTAATAAGTGAAGTTTTTGGAAACGTTCTCTAAGAATTTTGGATTATACGCATTCCATTAGTACCTACACCACAATATCTTGTAGTTTTCAGTTTTACACATCTGGCCTATATCAATTCGACATTGTTTTGCGGGCTGTTTTATCGTAATTTATAGAATTCCGTAGTTCCTTGCTAAAGGTATGGTAAGTGATATTTTGAAAGATGCTGATATCAATTTGGAACTTCAAAATTCCATGGTCCACAACATTGAACCCAAAAAACAACATCGATCCAATATTTTAGATTATCCATTTCCAAGGAGTTTAGATTTTTTTGTGCTCTCTTCAGTTAAAGAATTAGAAGGAATTCATGGAATGTGTGAATGTTCCCTTTTTAAGCTTCTAATACCTTCGATGGCCAATGTGAACAGCTTTCATTAATCATTTTATAGGGTTGTTCGGAAAGTCATTTCGTTTTTTCCCGACAGAGGATTTAATTGTATTCTTTTGCACCCAACTTCACATTTAAGCCGTATAATTTTTATATGCTTTGAGAGCTCATATAGCAAGGCTTGTGTGTGAAAAATTCCAATTAATTCTACGCAGTAGTTTTTGGTTGGTGCCCTTTTAAATATGGAGAGCGATAAGCAGCATTTTCGACATATCTTACTGTTTTACTACAGAAAGGGTAAAAATGCTGTTCAAGCCAGAAAGAAATTGACTGATGTGTATGGAGAAGGTGTGTTGACAGTACGCCAGTGCCAGAACTGGTTCGCTAAATTTCGATCCGGCAATTTTGATGTCGAAGATGCACCACGTTCGGGAAGGCCGGTTGAAGCTGATAAAGACGCGATAAAGGCATTAGTTGATGTGAACCGGCGAATAACAACACGTGAGATCGGATTGAGGTTAAATTTATCAAATTCAACAGTTTATGACCACTTGAAAGGCCTGGGATTATCCTCGAAGCTCGATGTATGGGTTCCCCATGTTCTCACAGAGAGAAATCTGTGTCGCCGCATTGACGTCTGCGATTCGCTTCTCAAACGTCACGAAAATGATCCGTTTTTGAAGCGCATCATCACTGGGGACGAAAAATGGGTTGTATACAACAACGTCAAACGCAAGAGGTCATGGAGCAAAAAAGATGAACCGGCTCAAACCATTTCCAAAGCCGATATTCACCAAAAAAAGGTGATGCTGTCTGTTTGGTGGGATTTTAAAGGAATCGTTTTTTTTTAGCTTTTACCGGATAACACAACGATTAATTCGGAAGTCTACTGTCATCAGCTGGACAAACTGAATGATGCACTTCAACAGAAAAGGTCAGAACTAATCAACAGGAAAGGTGTAGTGTTTCACCAAGACAACGCGAGACCTCACACAAGTTTGGTCACTCGCCAAAAGCTTTTACAGCTTGAATGGGATACAATGCTACACCCACCATATTCTCCAGACCTGGCACCATCGGATTATTATTTGTTCCGGTCACTCCAAAATTTTTTAGACGGTAAAACCTTCACCTCAAATGAGGAGGTCAAAAACCTCCTCGATCAGTTTTTTGCCAGCAAAGACCAAAAATTTTATGAGCGTGGAATTATGCTACTACCAGAAAGATGGCAAAAGGTGTTGGACCAGAACGGTCAATATATAATTTAATAAAGTATTTGTTTATTACACGAAAACTGTCTTTCATTTCAACAAAAAAAAACGAAATGACTTTCCGAACAACCCGATATAAGTATAATGTTTTTTCGGTGATACTAGCAAAACTTTTAAGGACGTAAATGTATTTTGCATTTTACGAATAGAGATTACGTTTGGAAAAGTGTTTTAAATAAAAGACAAAATGTTTTTCTCAATTTAAATGCAAGACAAAAATAGGTATTTTTTTTGGACCAGAACGGTCAATATATAATTTAATAAAGTATTTGTTTATTACACGAAAACTGTCTTTCATTTCAACAAAAAAAAACGAAATGACTTTCCGAACAACCCGATATAAGTATAATGTTTTTTCGGTGATANTGTTAAGTGTCGTGAAGGATGATGCGCGACATGCGTATTTGCGTCTCATCGATAGTGACTATATTATGAAAAGCAATATTCGTCCGTAAACAACACCCTATGGAAAAAATTAAGTTCTGCAACACTTGTTTGTCGAAACCACTAGCGGTTAAAGGTTTGCATTCGTTGCAAATGATAAGGATGCAGTAACTGCTCCTCTAAAATTTGTCACATTGTCGCATGAGAGAAGTGAACGTTCCGTTCTATTTCGCGTGTACTATTTTGAGGGTAAATGTCTTCTAAGAAATCAAGGATTTCGTTTTCTAAGGCGGCGATATGGTTTAGGCCCGCAAATAAATATCATTTCACATCATTATAACAACAACTGTTTTACACTGACATACTGACCTACTCTAATGACTGATGCTATAACGTTGAATTAGTATATTGAACGTTAAAAGGTACATGTCGTCTGTATGATTGCACCACTGTAATAAATTATATTACCACAATTAATTATATGAGCCGATCATTATACCACTNACCTATGTAGCTACTGACTTTAGACACGTTTTACTATAATTATTTAATTTACATTATTATATGGAAGATCATACCTGATTTATCACTATTGTGCCCGCTAAGGATATCAAGTAGACAATTTTTCCTGTGGACTGCCACTGATCTCCAAACTCCAATTGTTATCGTGTTTTGAGTCAAAATCGATGTCCAAAACAGAAACGTGTGGTTCGGGGCGCCTATTATTTTTGCTACTAAATTTTGTCAGTTTTGATAGGGTTTGACTTTTGAACCGATAGCAATACGATAGTGCTGTTAAGAAAATGCACCGAAAGCTTCAAAAGTAACAAAATTTTCTGGAGGACTTTCGATCTATTGAAAAAAAAGACTTACGAGAGGTGATCCAAATGATAATGAAAAAAAAAACACGATGATTAGATACGGTTAAAAAAATTATTTCCACATGGTCTGTACTAACAAGTCAATACAGTTTTTTCTAAACCCAGGATTCCTTTAGAAAAAAGGTATTTGTTTTGACCCTCCCAAAATGCTACGATAGAGGTCGTCACTTCGATGTCATCTTAAAATTTTTTGTTTTGGAGGTGCTCTTTGAACCAAGGAAAGAGTTAAAAGACACTGGGAGTCATTTTTTGCAAACAGGGCGGGTGTCGCTGCAGTTCAAATTCCGTTTCTTAAATAGATAGTCTGTGTAGAGTAAGAGCCCGAAATAGTGGCTCTCTTTTCCAAATATTCTACCGAAATTATTCCTTCAGTGTCCCAAAAACCGGATGTCATAAATTTTCTCGCCGATCTTGACACTTTGAATTTCTTCGAAGTCTGTGAGGAGGCTTGCTTCCAAGTCATCTATTGTTGTTTGGTTTTAGGATAAAAATGGTGGATCCAGGTCTCTTCTATGGTCACGAAACGTA